ATACATTAAATATATATTATATATATTTTAAATTCAAATGCCTTGCAGAATCCTATTAGAGTTCTAGTGTTGGTGTTTTCAGTAGATAATCATATCTGGAAATAATGATGACATTCCAGAGGTGTTTCTGCCTTACTGTTTTATTTATTTTCAAAGAAACTTGACCTTGAGTGTTCTCTAAAGACTTATTATTCTTCTAGTTCATTGTATTTTGTTTTACTTTCATTGTTTTACCCTGATTTCTTGAAATGCTCCTCTTGGTGTGTTCTGTGGAACACTGTCCTCTTCATTTTTCTAACTCTCTGATTGCTCTTGCCCCTGCCACCTCACACAGGTAAGTATGCCACAGAACCTGCCATTGGTCCCCTATTTATATTTACTGCTAGCCTGGCTTTGGGTAATGATCTTTTAAGATCTCAAAATGTACTTATGATCATAGCTAGCTGGCCCTGCTGAATAACAGAATTTTTAAAAATTGTAGTTAAAATACACATAACAAAATTTGTCCTCTTAAACATTTTCAAGTGTACAGTTCAGTGAATAACAGAAGTTTTATTTTGACTAAGACTTCATTAGGCTGACTCAAAGTCCCTATTTTTTGAAGGAGTTTTCATTGCTCCCATTTATTCCTAATCATTGGCCAGGTCCTGTCAGTTTTACCTAGCTTTGTCTCTATTTTTACTCTGCTTCATTATCAAGGCCAGACTCAGGCTCCAGCTACCAGATTCTTACTTGTCCTTCCAGGCTTTATTCCGTTTTCTACTTAATATATCGTTACTTTTCTGCTAAAAATTTAGAGTGGTTTCCAGTAGCTCACAGAAAAAGTACAGAGAGTGGCACTGAAGGCCTCATAATCTAGCTGCAGCCCATCCTGAGGTTTCTCGCATTCCCTTCCTACATGCTGCTGTGGCTTAGATGACACTTTGAGGGAGTGAGCTGGGTAAGGAAGGGGACACCTGGGACCAGTTGGAGAGGGAAGGGGAAACAGCTGTCTAGCCACAGGAGCTGGGATTTGGCCCTTGCACTGACAGACCCTTCATTTTTCTTTTTGTCTGAGAAACTGCAAATCTGAATTGGTATATGAAAATCTTCCAATTTGAAATAGTTGGCTACGAATTAAGATTGTGGAAGTAAGCCAGACATGGTTGCTCACGCCTGTAATTTCAACACTTTGGAAGGCTGAGGTGGGAGGATGGCGTGAGCCCAGGGGTTAGAGACCAGCCTGGGAAACACAAAGAGACGGAATCTCTACAAACAAAGTATTAGCTGGATGTGGTGTACCACATTTGATCGCAGCTACTCAGGAGGCTGAGATGGGAGGATCGCTTGAGCCCAGGAGGCCGAGACTGCACTAAGCCATGATCATGCCATTGCTCTCCAGCCACTTGGGCAACAGAACGAGATCTTGTCTCAAAAAAAGAAAAAATTGTTGAAATACTCTGAACAATACGGGCTGAATGATCCAGGCCTCAGGCCACAGTTTGTGGCCTTCATTCTGTTGTAGCAGGGGTCCTGGGGATTTTCTAAGCTATGCTTAGTACGATACTACTTGCCTGGAAGTGAAACATTACATTAGAGTTTAAAGAAATGTTAAAAGAAATCCAATAGAGAATAGAGGTTTGGGAAACTTCCACCGAAAAAAATGACTGCTTTAGAGGTTTTTCATGGTTCTTGTGAAATGGCCAATAGGTGGACATAAAATTACATGATATTATTACCCACTTGTGCCTCAGGGAGCACAGTGAGGTTCTATTATGAGAAGATTTGCTGAGCTGGAATTTTATTCCATTTTTGTTTTGTATTTATGTATATACGCACACCACACATATGATTGTTTTGGGGCTTACTTTGCAGGTCAAATTTATCAAGATGTCCACGATCCCGAGGCACTTTGGCCTGAAATACAAAGAGGAATCCTATATGTTTAAAGAGCTTGAGAAGGTTCGGCAGGAAACTAAAAAGGATTTTCTCCGATTCAAGCAGAAGTTGGCCTCCAAGCCGGCTGTAGATGAAAGGCCAGTCCACAGTCTCTATGCCCCCGGCGCGGCCCGCCCCGAGCGCGTTTCCCGCTCCGCAGCCCGGACGTCGAGAGGGTCCCCTTCGGCTAAAGGCCCTGCAATGTCCGCGGCCGCCCTCCTGCAGGAGGTGCTCGGAGGCGCGCCGCGGCCCTCGGGCCTGGGTGAGGCGGCGGCTCCAGGCAAGACCTTGTCGTTTCGCCCCCGGGACTTTTACTTGCGGAGCTCCGCGTTCCTACGGCATCAGACCCTGAAAAAGCCGCCAGTCATCGCCTCGGGGTTCGGCACGGCCAGACCCGTGGTCCTGCTGCCAACGCCCGAGCCGCCCGTGAAGCGCAGAGCGTGCAGGGTATTGGGGAGCTCGCGGCACGCGGCCCCCAGGCCAGTCCTTGACCTGGGCAGGGGGCGCGAGGAGAGCCAGGAGGTAGCTCCTCTCTCAGGGCCCTGCATGGCCAAAGACAGGAAGGTCAGCTCCATCTCCACAGAGGACGGTTACACGGATGTCAGCAGCGGGCGGAGGAAAGTGAGGATCCGCACCCACTTCATGAGCGAGAGCCGGGCCCGCGAGGCGCGGGAAGCGGCGGGGTTAGGAGCGCAGGGAGAACAGGAGAGCTTGCCGCCCAGCGACGCGCGGGAGGCCGCCTGGCAGGCGCTGCTGCCCGCCCGCGTGATCCCCACGTCCATCGAAGAGATCATCGCCTCGCTGCAGTCCGAGGCCCAGCTGGCCTCCGACCAGACCATCAAAGAGCTCATACGGAGTATCCTTGGCCAGAACTACGATATTAGAATGGAAGTAGGTGAACCAAAACCAGAGTAATGTTTCTCCCAAATGCAATTTGGGGTACATTACATATGTAAGCGTAGTTTATTATGGATGCTATTTCGGTGCACAGGGTGTCATGTATTATAACACAAAACACTGGGGCGTTATTCAACTTCTTTGCATTTTTTTTGAATTTTCCATTTGAATTTTTGAATTTTCTGTCTAGGGAGTGTATCCTCTTTTCAAAGCAAAGGAAACTGAGCGATGATCCCAAAAACTGATTCAGAGAACATTAGCTGAAGACTTCAGTAATACGTCACTAGTAGCCTTACCCTTCAAAGGTTTTGTGATTATTTAGTATTAAAGGAACAGGCATTTTATGTAAAAAACTCTTTTTTTCTGTTACAGTTTAATGTTAGCAGTAGTAAATTAAAGTAAAAGTGCATTTATATTCTAAGAAGATCAGCATATTACAATTTATAAGAATTCTGTACTTTCAGTGAAAATCATTCTCTTGAAACATTTTAAAAAATATTTTCTAGGTCTTCCCAATCATAGAGATTTGTAAGTGCGTCTTGTGTGCCAAACTCTATGGGACACACTATACATGCATTTTTGTCCCCATGACAACCCTATCAGGTCAATAGATACTAATAAAAGTCCTGTCTGACATAGAGGCCTTCTAGCTTTAGTGAAGTTAAGAAAGATTGGCACAGTGTTCTGGAGCTAATGCATGGCAGAGCTGGGATTCCACCCCAGGCAGTCTCATCCGAGACACTGAGCTGGAACCATGCCCGGGACAGTCCACTGATTCATTATGACTTGTCCTGGGTAGGAAGCTAAGCTAGATAGGGTCATATTTAAGTTTAAGGTATGTTGTCCATTATACAGACTTTGCTGTGGCAGGGACATTGACAGCAAAAGTAGTAACAAGGGAACTTGACCCCCAAACCCAAAGAAAGAAAGAAAGAAAGAAAAATATGAGACAGTCTTTTTTGAGAATGACAGAAGCAAGAAGATTCTATTACTGTTCTTGGCTGCAGCTACAAATATCTTATTTGTACACAGAATACTGCTACTGCATTATGTCTTTAAAATTGTTTCAGCCCCAGAATACACTCTTGGCTGTGATTTAAGGAATGTGACCATAAAGGGAAGCAAAAACAGGTATGAGCAAGAGGCTCTAGTGTTGCCTTTGGCCTAATGTTTGTGGGCAGAGTATGACAAATGTTCTGAGTTGAGACTCACACCTCCCCATTGTTACTGAACAAGATCAGGGTGACTGCTCAGGCCATTTAAAAATGGGTATTTTTAGTTAGATTTTCTGTGAATCTAATAAGAAATCAGGGATGCCCAATGAAGAGCCTTAGCAAAGAGAAGAGAGGCCTCGGCGCCCCTTCTTCTGACATAGGCCCCATGCTCTATGACGTAGTTAAGGTACTTGACATGAAGAGGGGGTGGTATTAGAAACTGGCCCAGAGGTCCCGTACAGTTGAGGAAAGTTATACCTCAGAGCAGTGTCCCATAAGAAAGATTGTATTTTGGCGGGCTCAAATGGACTTAGGGATATATGAAGAGAGACTATTAAATGAATAATGAACACTGCAGTGTATTTGGCTCTTCTACCAGAAGTGTTAATTCCTCTTGTGTATTCTTTTTTTTTTTTTTTTTT